ATACCAAGGGCTTAGTATTTCCCCAATTAGTAGGCACCTCAAAGGAAAATATTATTCTTGATGAAACAGATGCTGCAGCTGAAGCAGGAACATGTTTGGTGTGCTGCTTTAAATAGCATGGGTAGATGTTCAAACATGTAAGGATTCACTGGCCCCAAGAAGGACCCATAGGAATCTGGTCTACACCAGGAAAGTGACAATAAAACTCCAAACACCTTTTGTCATCTAATTACCAAGAAAATTATTTCTTTTCCAATGGTTGAAGACAATAATGTTGGGAATGATGAAGTTTTCTGGAGTGTGAAGTGGATATGCTTTATAACCTTAATCCACAGCTTCATCATCTCGTAAGTGAATAATTGAATTATGCCTCAGTTTCTTCAGACTTGGGGATATTAAGAGTACCTTCAGTCACCACCAAGTGGGTATCCACACAAGAAAAGAGCAGAGCAAAAGCCCGGGGGTGAACGTTCTTAAAGTGCCTAGCATGAGATTAGAAAGACAAGTGGTAGATGACCTACTTGTGCAGAAATTTAGTTATTTTGTGATTTTCAAGTGATCATCAGCATATGTGAATACCTTATACTAACTTAAAGTGTTTCCTGTCAGTTTTCCCTATTTCAGCAAACTGTCTTGTCTCTGCCTTTCTTTGCTAGGTAAGCACTTTTCTATTGGTTGGCAGGCTTAGCAGCTCTCGGTTTTGCCTTCATGGGAGACAAACAGCATGCACCCCTGAGTTATGGCAAAGGAACAGTACCTTTCCGGGTGTTCTGTCCTGGGCCTCTGGCAGATCCCCTGTGGTTTTGCTCTGTGTCCCCACCTAAATTTCATCTTAAATTGTGATCACCACATGTCAAGGGAGGGACCTGGTGGGAGGTGATAGGATCATGGTGGCAGTTTCCCCCATGCTTTTCTTATGATAGTGAGGGAGTTTTCACTAGAGCCAAAAGTTTTAAGTGTGGCACTTTACTTTCACTCTCTCTCCTGCTGCTTATGAAGAAGGTATTGCTTCTCCTTCGCATTCTGCCATGATGGTAAGTTTCCTGAGGCTTCCTCAGCCATGCAAAGCTGTGAGTTAATTAAACTTCTTTCCTTTATAAATTACCTAGTCTCAGGAAGTTTCTTTATAGCAGTGTGAAAATGGACTAATACACCCTGGCTTTTGGTTCTCTGTGTTCCCTGGATTTCTGCCTACTAATGTACTTGATTCTTGGTAGTGAGGGGTTGGTCTCTGCCTGGCTGGTAACTGCATGCCTGGCTTCTGGTCTAGCTTGCAATCTAACTCGTTCCAGGTCCATATGCTCCGATTCAAGCTCTCCAGTTCCCTTGTCCTCTCGAATGGTGGCATATACCAAGCCTGGGCATGACCTCCTGCTTATATGGACTTCTTGGAGTTTACCTTTTTTCTGTTTGGTGGTGTGAAAGTGACTCTAAGCAATGATCCTGGGCATATTCAAAGAGATATGAGAGCTTTGGCCACACATGAAACAAAGCAGAGATACAGGGAGATCTAAAAAAGTCCAAACAAGATCAGCAGAAAGTAAGCCACACATCAGCAGACCAAAGATCAAGAGCAAAACCTGAACAGTAGCTAGAGCAAAAGACTGCCCTTAAGGTGTGACTGCAGGACCAAGAGCTGGTTTTTCAATGGAAAACAGGAGTCAGATAACAAGGAAACTACACATTTAAAAGATGAAAAAATACTGCTCTTAAACTGGAATTGAATATGCAGTGAAAACATCCTTGAAAAAAAAACAGTCAAATACAGAAAGTGTCAAACAACTGAAATAATTTGCCATCATCAGATCCATATGTGTAAACACTAAATGATGTTATTCATTGACTGGAGTTTCTAGACAAATGATAATTAAAATTGACAGTGAAAATCCTTTTTTGTTTGTATTACTAACTCAATTTGTGTCCCCTCGCTACAATTCCTACAATGAAGCTCATTCACCACCTTAATGTGTCTGTACTTGGAGCTAGCACCTGAAAGGAGGTAATTAAGGTTAAACAAGGTCATTAGGGTGGGCTCTGATTCAATAGGACTGAAGACCTTCTAAGACGAGGAGATGAGGACACAGACACATACACAGAAGGATGACCATGTTAGAACAAGGGAGAAGGCCGGGCGCGGTGGCTCAAGCCTGTAATCCCAGCACTTTGGGAGGCCGAGGTGGGTGGATCACAAGGTCAAGAGATCGAGACCAACCTTGGTCAACAAGGTAAAACCCCGTCTCTACTAAAAATACAAAAAATTAGCTGGGCATGGTGGTGCATGCCTGTAATCCCAGCTACTCAGGAGGCTGAGACAGGAGAATTGCCTGAACCCAGGAGGCGGAGGTTGCGGTGAGCTGAGATCGTGCCATTGCACTCCAGCCTGGGTAACAAGAGCGAAACTCCATCTCAAAAAAAAAAAAAAAAAAAAAAAAAGAACAAGGGAGAAGACGGTGTCTACAAGCCAAGGAGAGAGGCCCAAGGACGAACCAGCCCTGTCCATACCTTGATCTCAGACTTCCAGCCTCCGGAGTGTGAGAGAATAAATACCTGTTGTTCAAGCACTCCAGCCTGAGGTATTTTGTTATGGCAGCTGGAAAAGATTGAGACAGTTCGTTTTGGAGTTTTAAATGAAATGAGTATTTTACTACCATGTACAGTATTAACTGTTGGTTTACAAAGAGATAGGTATTCTTTACATTAGTTAAATATCTATTTATTCTTAGTTCATTTTGACTTTCAATATGGAATGTATGCCAATTATATCCTAAAGTGAATTTTAAAAATATATCATTTTAAGTGACTTTGTCTAATATATGAATTCACCATCCCTTTGAAAAGGTTTTAAAATATTAGTGAATGAATATGACTTCATGCTTCCCAAGGCTTCATCTTCGCTCAGAGATTAGAGAGTATTAACATTCTTAGTTTTTAAAATACATTTTATCCCCTAGAGAAATAATTATTAACATTTTGGTAAATATTTGAAATATTTTAATGAAAAAAATTCAGTTCATATACCATGTTATTGAAATCCATGTAGGACTTGAAAATTATGGGCATTTTGCAATAAAGAAAATCCAGTGCTTTAGTACTAGGGTGATAGTTTTACAGTTTCAAAATAACTCTGTGAGAAGCCCCTGCAATACTGTTGGGAACCAAGAAAGAGAGGCAATGACTTAATCCTCACAAACAACTTTGGTCAAAAGATGTACAAAAAAAAAAAAAATGTAGTTAATTTGAGAGCAATCAAATTCGAACAGGCAACACAATGATCTCACTGCGGATTTCAACACTGCTCTCTCTCTCCCTTGTGTTTTCCATGGTGCTGGAAAAAGATCTCGAAACCAACCCAAACATTTCGTGACTAAAGTTTAACAGATAAATACCCTAAGATATGTTCTTATGCAGTTTTGTATGTCTACAATTACGGTCATATAAGTAAAGAGTATATGTTGGATTAATTCAGTCAGGGTAACAGTTTTTCTGATGAAAACAGTTACAATCCATGGAAATACTGTGTGGCTAATGAAAGAGAAAAAAATAACAGTGCGTATGCACACAAGACATGACCTATTCAAGAGACTCAAAAAGAACTAGAATATTTTGAGCCATCCCAAAGATCTGCTTTCAGAGATAATGTGCACTCCTCAGTCAACAAATATCCTCACCAATGTCTTCATAAAGCAAGTCTCTCCATCTAACAATAATTACCAGAAAATACTACAGACTTTGAAATGATACTGCTAATATCCTTTGCTCTTTAACACTTCATTTTCTCTTTTTAGAATATGATAGTTCTAGAGATTGCCTGTGACACAGAGAGCCTCATGTGAGACCAAGGAGCTTTAGCCGACTGGTTGTGGAGCACAAGAGTACATTGTAGACCACAGAACAATGTTCTGCAGAAGCATTATTACAGGTAGGTGAAAACTCACTATTTTTCATTGTAAACCTTGTTATAATGTGCAGATTTGTTTTTTCAAATTTCAAAACACCATACAAAATGTGCCAAATGTAGCATAACTGTCAAATGTGTTTAAAGAAATATGAATTGCCGTGACTAGACAATATTTCACAGAAGTCACTCCTGTTTCTTAGAATGCTGATTCTTTCAAGTGTAAGACAGATGTCTTCCAGATTTTTTTTTTTTTTTTTTTTTTTATAAATCACCAAACTCCATCTGAGGATTTATGAGGTGGAAAAAAAGTCTAATAAGCAGTAATTAGTAAGTGTGTTGTATATGTTTAAGTGAAATTAAGATGATATTGATAGTGCCATCTCTTGGATGATGTCAGCAGTATAACAGATCCTTCCTAAGGGTGTACACTGTATAAGCAAACATTAGCTGCTAGTTATGCCACACCTGTATACATTCTACTAATCATTGTGTGTCCCTAATATGACATACTTTCAATGAGCTATGAAAGTATAACAATTACTCTTTAAACTTCCTTGGCATGTATCACTCTGGTGTAAATTTTTATTACCATACCTCTGTGAAATCCATAAGCTATTCAATGGAGTAACATCACTAAAATGTACTGAAGCAATTTGGTTGATGTAGTAGAATAAAAAAGAACATATGTGCTTTGGCAAAGCATCAGTCTGTGCCCTTTGTGTAAAAATATAAGAATCTGGCCACAGCTTTGGTTACAAAAGCAATAACAGACAGGAGATCAAATTTACCCTGTAGGAAACTCACCCAGATGTAGATGAACATCACTTAGATACGCATTACACCTATTTGTCTTATTCATGCAAAATGGCTTAGTGATTAGAAAACATCAACATAATACAAGATACTAAATCAAAGAAGTGACTCTTTCACTGAAAGCCTCTATTCACTGCTGCAAGGGCACTATAGCTCACTTAAAATATATAAATATCCGTTTACATTTGGAGTACTAATTGGGATTTTAAAAATTTAGTCACATATATATTTTACATTTCTTGGAAGACTTATTTTTTTAAGGTAAAAACATGACTCCCATAAAAATATCAACATGTGTTAAAAGATTTTATTTAACTAATTCAATTTATTAGGGAAACAGTAAGACAATACAACTGATTAAGAGGAGCATTCAAAGTGCACATGTATATAGGCCATTGGGAATGAGGAAATAAATTTGCTAAATTGATGCAATAGCCAGGGCCTGTCATCCACAGACAATCACTCCACCACACACATACATGCCTTCCTATGGTTTGTGTGCAACTTCCCGAATTGAAGAGCTTCTCAAGGACATCAAAGGGCAGGGGCCACTGGGAAGGGCTGAGCCACAACGGAGCAGTACTCCTTCACTCCTGATTTCCATAGCTACCACCATTTTTCTCTGGCAAATCATAGACAAATTTTAAAGACGGTGTAACTCTATAAAAGCAATTAATCACAGAAGTTCAATGTCTGATAAATTATTCCAAAAGTGCTCCCAGGGCACTCAGACTCACCAAACATACTTTCTGAAATCAACTTCTATTTCTATCCAAAAAGTGTAGGCCATCAGTGTTCTTTAAGGAGGCAAATGTTTGCTCTGAGGTAGAAAGCATTCTCCAATGTAGATAAGGATGTAGATACCAGGTAAATGCTACAGTTGTGTTCATACTAACAATAAACTATGGATGATGTGGCTCAGAGTCAGTCAATGAGGAAAGATCCAGAGACATTCTGAGGTCACAAAAAGAATTTAAATGTTAGCTAACAAGAAGTACTTCTTAGTGCTCATCAAAAACAGGGCTTTCCCACTCAGACTGGAAGCTAGGCAGAACTACCATCTCGCTTTATCAGTTGTCACTGTATGCTGACATCAACACTGAGGAGAGTGATGCAGATGACAGATATATGTACATACATATGAATATATAAAGCATATACTTATATGCATACACAGTTTACATTTCCCAGTGTTCAGAAAAACTAGAATAAAAGAGAAATGATGTTCCATTTTTGTCTTGGTAAAGTATGTATCTCACATATATATGCATGCATATATCTACATATATACACATGTAATTTCCTACATGCATATTAACTTACTGATATACATGTGCATATATAGAGGTGCATGTGGCAGATGTATACATGTACATTCACTTTAGCACATAGTACGTTATCCTGATTTTTGAGATGGTAATTCAAGTTTCGTCTTTGTTCTGGGCTTTGTTTCTGTTTCTACCGTGTTTCTCTCAACTGTCAAGTCACGTTTTATCAACACGCTAGAGTAAGGGAAGTCAACGCAGGATGGAAACACCAATCTCGGGAGGCTAAAATCACTGTGCACGTTGCTGTTTGAGAGTTGCTGATTTCCTTTTCCTTTCCCCAGCAGTGTGGACCATGAGACTGGGCTGGGGGGTGGCATAGCGAGGCCCTCTCTTTCAGTCATAGAGAGGCAAACCAAACAGCTCGGGCTGGAAGTCCTGCAGGGAATTCAGCACCACGGTGGCCTTTGTCGTCAGGTCTCGGCTCAAGTTTCCATCTGGAACCATGACCACCTGCATCCCAGCTGCCAGGGCCGCCTCCACCCCATTGGGAGCATCTTCAAAGACAAGGCACTGCAGGAATAAAAAGAAAGTCGAGATGGCCTTGCATGGAACCAGACATGTGGATAAAGTGTTTATTATTGTCATCACCATTGGCTTTGCAACTGTGCAGAATGAGACAGAATTACGGTGGGGACTCCCCAGAGTACAGACTGTGGTGAGGATAGCATGCTGTTTCTTACTGGCTCTGGGGGGGGGTCCCCACCACGGCTCCTTTAAAGGGGACAGGTTTCCATCGCAGCCAAAGCATTGTTGAAGTGGAATGCAAGGTTGAAGGCAAGAAGTGGAAGGCAAGAAGTGGAAGGCAAGATTCTCAGCTTAAAACTTTATTTTATTGGGATCATAACAATCTGTTCAATCAATAATTGAACATTCAGAGTGTGAGAGGCAATTGCAAAACTAAAAATCATGCTCTTAAAATATAAAACCACTTCAGAGCTGCTCCTGTTTTATGTACTGTAGTTTGAAAATTAAATGGTTAAGTCTTTTAAGTTAAAAATTCAGTTCCTGTGTGTGCTGGTGTGACATGACAAATATCTCATGAGCACAAAGATGTAGTGTGCGTGCATTCTCTCTTTTGGATGATAGTGAAAATCCACTTTATTACTGGGATTACGGACACAGCAGCACCCAAAACCTGTGGTCTCTTCATTCAGACACCCACATTTAAAATGGGGTGTTTCCAACTGGCAATTGCAAAGATACGGAATCAATCTAAGTGCCCATCCACCAATGAGTGGATAAAGAAAATGTGGTATATATACACCATAGAATACTACTCAGACATAAAGTGGAATGAAATAATGTCTTTTGCAGCAACTTGGATGGAGCTGGAGGCCATTATTCTAAGTAACTCAGAAATGGAAATCCAAATATTGTATGGTCTCACTTATAGGTGGAAGCTAGGTTATGAGGATGGAAAGGCATAAGAATTATATACAATGGACCAGGCGTCCCCAAACTTTTTACACAGGGGGCCAGTTCACTGTCCCTCAGACCGTTGGAGGGCCGCCACATACTGTGCTCCTCACTGACCACCAATGAAAGAGGTGCCCTTTCCTGAAGTGCGACGGGGGGCTGGATAAATGGCCTCAGGGGGCCACATGCAGCCTGCAGGCCGTAGTTTGGGGACGCCTGCAATGGACTTTGGGGACTAGCAGGGTGAGGAAGAAAAGACTATATACTGGGTACAGTGTACACTTTTTAGGTGATGAGTGCACTAAAATCTCAGAAATCACCATTAAAGAACTTATCCATGTAATCAAAAGCCACCTGTACCCTATAGACTATTAACATTAAAATAAAATTATTTATTTTAATAATTTATTTCTTAATAAATTTTTTAAAAAGTACTGAAAGAAAAACCAATAAATAAGATAGGGTGTTTGCACACTGCATTTATCAGTGAGCTCCTAACGGTGCCACCACATTGACAATGTTACAGTAAGTTGTGCATGAGGGCTCCCTCCAAAGTAGACACCCTGGTGCCTGCTCCATGGTATAAACAAGCATAATCCACAAGTGCTATCTTCATATCACCATCCCTCTCAGAAAGACACACACCTAGGAAGCTTCTTTCCTACATTCCTGGAATGGCACACACTTCATGTAAAAACAGATTTATTGATGCTTTTTAACTGAGACTCTACAGGGGCCCAGACATCTGTAAGGGAAGAAAGTTCCTCGCCATGGCAGCCTATGCTGAGTCGTCTCCCCTGTTCTTCTCCACATGTGGTCTAGAACTCCAGGAGCTGTGGAGATGGGGCCTTTCAGCTCTCCACTCATCTCTTCTTTGTTCTTTTTTTCCCTTTGCTTTTCTTTTTTTTTTTGTGAGACAGTCTTGCTCTCTTGCCCAGGCTGAAGTGCAGTGGTGCGATCTTGGCTCACTGTAGCTTCTGCCTCCCAGTCTCAAGAAATTCTCATGCCTCAGCCTCCCAAGTAGCTGGGACTACAGGCATGCACTATCATGCCCAGATAAATTTTTTTGGTATTTTTAGTATAGGCAGGGCCTCACCATGTTGGCTAGGCTGGTCTGCAACTCCTGGACTCAAGTCATCTGCCTGTCTCAGCCTCCCAAAGTGCTGGGATTACAGGCATGTGCTACCACTCCCAGCCCCCTTTGCCTTTCATTATGAAAATATCCTCTTCAGCTCATCACTAGGTATACAGCAGTGACCCAATGCACTGGTATCCTGGAAAGGGCTCATGGAAGCCTGCTGCCAGGTCTGAAAGAGAAGTTCTGCATTCTTTGATGTTTTCACTGTTAAACACTCAAACATACACACAGTCTTAACTACCAGTGGTCTGTGCTATAGCCAGCACAATGCCTTTTTTTCTTTTCCCTCCCTCCCTTATTCTTTCCATTATCCCATTCTTTCCTTCTATCTGGGGCAAAAATATCTCTTTAGCCAACTTACCACACAGGGCCAATCCCTGGATTAAGTAAGTTAATGCATATCACAATGGAATGTGAATGCTATGTTACTTTCACGGAGGGAACTGGTTTGCCCAACTGTTCCGGTTTGCTTGGAACTGAAGGGTTGGCCATGAGGCAGGATGTTCCGTGCTACACCCTGGACAGTCCCAGGCAAGCCACAGCAGTCCAACCCACCACCTCCCTTCCGACAGCTTCTGATACCCCCTGGTTTCTTTCTTCTGTGAGACACTGGTCACCGTAGGACAGGGGAAGAAATGACTCCACTTAGACTGCCCAGGCTGGTTTTCCTAATTGTCTCATTCAGTGACTTACCTGTTCATGATATTTCTGCCCTGGCCTTTTTAAAAGTTATGACTTGATCATATTCTAAATGCCCTCCACTGTTTTTACCTAGGACCAGAGATAGGCACTTAAATGTCAAATGACATTTTGAAATATCCATCACTTCTCTGGGGATTCTGAAGCTTTGTGCAAGGTCCACCTGTGAAATGTGGGCTGGGGCAGAGGAAGAGATGGTTTATCCCCTGGGGTAACACTGCTTGGCTAAAGTGAAAGCAGCTTTTATTCTCTCTTTTATTTGCATGAGCCTGCTTCCAAGGAGCATGACAGACATACTTGATGGGAACTCGGTGGCTGGTAAACTGTGGCAGTTCCCTAAGAGACAATGGAAGGTACCCAAAACACCTGCACTCACCTAATGGGGGTAATACGGTTTTGCTATGTCCCTACCCAAATCTCATCTTGAATTGTAGCTCCATGTGTTGTGGGAGAGACCCGATAGGAGATAATTGGCTCATGGGGACATTTGCCCCATACTGTTTTCATCGTAGTAAGTCTCACAAGATCTGACAGTTTTATAAGGGGAAAATCCTTTTGCTTGGCTCTCATTATGTCTCTTTCCTGCTGCCATGTCAGACATGGCTTTTGCCTGCACCATGATTGCGAGGCCTGGAACTTTAAGTCCATTAAACCTCTTTTTCTTTGTAATTTATGCAGTCTTGGGTCTTTATCAGCAGTGTGTAAATAGACTAATACAGGGGGTCTGCAGTGGAAGAAAATGCAGGCATCATGGTCATGGTGTCCCTTCACACCTGAGAGATCTGCCCAAAGGCAACCCCCGTTTAAAGGCAACTAAGTGAGGGCTGTGAGTGAAGAGGAAAACTTGCAAGTGGCTGCAGCACTGACACAGTGGGAGCAGCCAACACCAGCTCTTGGAGACCTTTACTGTTTCTCATGGCCTTCACATTTTGCCGTTTTTTCTGTGTTCATCTGTCCCCACCTATCTTTAAGAATTAATAATTCAAATATGGCACTGACATATGAAATATTACATGCAATGTATAAGATGAATGTCATACCTAAAGAGGGACCCGACTAAGTATAAACAGTGGTAAAAAGTCAAGGTCAGTAACTGGTTGCTATTATGATTAATTATAAGAAGGTGACATAGGCCGGGTGCACTGGCTCACACCTGTACTTTGGGAGGCCGAGGTGGCCAGATCACTTGAGGTCAGGAATTCCAGACCAGCCTGGCCAACATGGTAAAATCCCATCTCTACCAAAAAATAAAAAAAGTTAGCTGGCCATGGTGGTTGATGCATGCCTGTAGTCCCAGCTACTCTGGAGGCTGAGACAGAAGAATCACTTGAACCCAGGAGGTGGAGGTTGCAGTGACCCAAGACTGCATCACTGTACTCTAGCCTGGGCCACAGAGTGAGACTCCATCTAAAAAAAAACAAAGTGATATAATACGCTTATGCAACAGAAGGGCCATTTGAAATATATCTACACGAGCAAGTAAAACCCTCAGTGCTAAATGATTGAGGGGAAACCTAGAAGACAGGCCACTTGGTTTGGGTTTCTTAGCACAAGCCCCTTGCAAAGTTAACTATTCTAAAGGTCAAGAGTAATTACAGCCTCTGATGTAAAACAGCCATGGGTGATCTCAGCCCAAAACAGCAATGGGAATGCATGATGCCCCTGGCACCTGAAACCCTCTTCTTCCCCCTCTCATGTGGCCACTTTGCTAACAGCTGTCAGGAGACGCTTTTCCCCAACATTAGCTGGGCTTTTACACTTCATGTCCGCTAACAAGAATTTCATTTGATCAAGGTGGAATTTGAAAAAAGAATCTGAAGTTTCAAAAGCTAACAGAATAGTCAGCTAGAGGTGGTCGATGATGGAAACATGGCAAGAAAACTCAACAGAACAGGAGTGGAGCAGAAGTGAGTGGTTTACAGGAAAAGAGTGAGGTTGGCCCTCTAACATCAGGCATTGTTTACACACAAATTTAAAGAAAGCCCCGGACACAGGACAAAGAGCAGACACCAAACATGAGTCCTGAAAATAAATCTCCTGGTGCTGAGCCCAGATGGCATCTGAGCCATACAGCCTGCATGCAGGGAATGATTCTGGGTCATGCCACAGCATCTGGAATTTCGGGCTTCGTTTGCTTGCGTTTTTCCCCTAGAAGCAGTAGAATTATAAAGCAGAACAACTACTGTGTCCTGAAGCACCTACTAAAAACATCCCAAAAGATTGACTGATTGATGATTGATTGATTGACTGATTTTGA